GTGCAAGTGCTAACCAAATTGAGAAAGAATGCACAGCATCTATTAAACAGGCTTTTTGTTGGCCCTAGGAGGGTGGAAAACAGCTGATACGATGGTGGTGTTTGCATGGGAGTGGCTCCTTTATTCATGTTCTCTGGGCTGCTCTCTTGGCATCGAAGATGGCTGAAAAGTTAAAGCCTTGCTAGAAAACAGGCTGACTTCATGTAAAGTAGAAATGGCTTTGAGCTGCTGAGTTCTGATCTGGATACGAAATAAACTGTTTGGTATTTTTTTGACAAAGCGGTTGCGTTTTTTTTAAACAGAACATGTTGAATTACCAAAAGAAATGTCGCAGTGTAGTGACTGGTATGTACTAGGCACAGAAAGGGATGACATTTTTACCAGAAACAGACTCTCGGACCCAGAATGGCTTCTAGCCCAGGAGTTACAGCACTCAGCTGGGATGTGCAAGACTCACATTAAAGAACCGGATTCAGACTTAACCTCAGTTTCCCTCCTCTCAGGTGGGGGAACAAAGCACTAGGCTATTGAGTTGGCCTCTGTTGCTAGTTGAATGACTGTTTTGCTGTTTTTATTTAGTTTTAACAAAGCGGAACAGCTCCAACAGAAGATAGTAGATGTAAGTCACTATAAAATGGCAAGTAGACTAACAGTTAAAGCAGTCACCCAGCATGTAAGAGACTATTCTCCTGTGTGGTCTGAACAACACAAAGCAGGATCACCCAGGTGAATGCCCACACCATTGGACCATCATTTATTCTGGAGTAGGCTGGTCTGTCTCTTTCTCTACAGGACATCTTGGTTTTGTCCCAATGATGAGATGAAAAACTTTTGAAATCTTGCAGATTTCCAGGGGATGACGAAACCCATTCTCACCCATTTCGATTGTCTTTCACACACGCCATATCTTGGAGGTGTTTGATCTTGTACATTTAATATTAGCTAGTGAGATGACAGGAAGTTCAGGTTGAAACACTGGTTTGGCTCTGGAGCTTCGCTTCTGGCTCATCTCTATTTGGTCACTTGGCCAATAGGGATCTGATGGCAAAGATGATTTGTAATGAGCTATATGATACAGAATCTTCTGCCTCAAGATCACTAGTTTAATCCATATTTCTATGGGTAAGGACCAAAAACTAGTAGTGTGCAAAATGTGATAATTCATTCACATTTAGATTTAAACAATAGCACATGCAAGATGCCCATGCAAGTATTCTAGGTACACTGACACTTCATTGTATAATGCACTTAGCAGCTTTAAAGATCAGATATTTACAGATTAGTTCAGGTCTTTTAGCCAGCCAGTAAATTATCTATGAAACAACTCTTCTCTATCCTCAGTCTCTCAGATCGTGCCCTCACCCTTGTCTCTAAACCCTAGTGGATACACCTCCATAGCACACAAAACGCACAAGTATTATTTGGTTCTTGCTGCCAATCCTGTAAAGACACGGACTGAATGGCAGAAGTACACAGGCCTGCAAGCAGTGTGAAGAAGTGTGTAACTACAGTTAGTCTGTGGATAAATGGGACACCCCGCTATTAAGGACTGAATTCAGTCCACCATGGATCTCAATCCAACATGTTCCATTTGAAAAACTAATTTATAAAAGGGACCTTGGGCTGTCCTTTGCAAGATGCAAAAGTGCTGTCTCAAAGATCTAAATTCAGAATTTCTCTAATTTCCTTGCTTCCCAAGGGGTGCTGAGAATGCTGTATGATCAGCATCTGCGGAGGAAAGAACTTGCTCAGATATGTCATCTCCAGCTTTTCTGAAATCTGGACTGGAGTTGATACTACCCTCTCTGCAGGAGACGCTAAATGTGCAGTAGACTAATTCTACTGCGCATTAGTGCATCATGGCAAAAGCTGTGTCACGAATTAGTCTACTGAATTAGTCTACTGCACAATAGCATCACTAAAAGGACGTATGCTGGTGCTACTGCGCAGTAGTGCTGGTTACTGCACAGTCAGTTAGTACTTGTTATTACAGGTACTAAACCTAATGCGCAGTAACTACGGAGCATTAATGCACATGTAGATGAGTCCTCTGGTAATTGTGACTCATGTCTTTGGGGCTGAAGTAAAAAAAAATGAGGGAAGAAGAGTCCATAGGGCGAAAGAAGTGGCTGAATTTATTTTCTTTGCATGTGATTTTGGAGGGCGAGTCGCAGGATATGAATATAGCATTGAGAATGTTCCTGGAGCTTTTCCACAACACTTCTAATGTGGTTGTGCATTCTTTGACTGTGTCTGAAAATAAAATAGAACTGCAGCAAGTGCAGAAAACATGAGGCTTTTAAATTTGTTCGGAAAATGCATCAGGGCATGATATGATTTTGTCTATACTAGCTAGTGATGACAAAGCATGAAGATGACAAAGAATGAATCATTTGGATGTTCATGAAACAACATATTATAGGGTCACTAATTTGTGGCTTTTGGGAATTCTTGAAGTAATGAAATCAGGATCCAGCGAATATCTTTGCTAAATTGTTAGGTTTGTTTAAGGGGTACATTTAGTATCATCTCAGCATCTGTTTTCATAGACACTAGATTAACAGCCAGAAATTCTACTTTTTCAGTTCCTGCAGGGCTACATAGTATGGGACTAGTATTTCATGGTATATATTATCAAAACAACCAGGCTGAATAGCCTTTAGATGAAAATATAAAGGGCCAGGTTGTAGCCTTGGTTACAAAGCCCGTTTAAAAAATGAAATGGCTAGCTGCCACACCCCTTTAGGAGCAAAGTTAGAACCAAATGGTTTAAAACAACCATCCGGCACTCATACTTTTTAAGCTATGAGTCTACAAGTGACCTTTTATATCCAGAAGTCATTGGGCACATAGTACTTTGCATGAACATTAGAGAGTTGTAATTAGAGAAAATGCAGAGATGGATTTGTTCGATGATCCTCAACCAAAACGATGCTCTTGTTGTCATTGTTTACACGGCTGTGACATACGCCACGGCCAGGTGTTCCTTTCTACTGGTAAGACTTTCAGGGTTTCAGTATAATGACTAACATATCCCAGGAGCCAGCGCCATACATGTGTTGCTGTCATCTGGCTGGAGAGCTACACGGTCAGGCTCTCCAACCAGAGGGTGCAATAGGGCCACCTCCATCTTTAGGGGAGCCCCTTAATTGACAGCCTGCCCTTTCCCCTGCCTGGGAAGGGAGCAGGCTGTCAGTTGGCAATTGGCAGCTGATAAAAAGCAGCAGCTGCCATAGAAAGCCCCAAGAGGGATCCAGTCCCTGGAGAATGCCCCCCCCCACAATCCTGCCACCCCTCTGGGTGGAACCCAAAGGCATGTAGGATGTGGGGGATGGTTCCCCCAAGGCTGCAAGCCTCCCCAAACCTGGAGAGCCTTGCTGCCCACCTCCCCGACCGCTACTTGCTGTCCCCGCATGCCTCTGCAAGCACCTGGAGTGTGGGGTGGGGGTTCATTCTCCCCAGGGGCAGCCCTTTGGGGCTCTCGCAGTGCTCCTGCCACAGGAAGGCAATGCCACCCGCCCTGCAAATCCAATGATTAGTTGGAAGGGAAAATGGGGGAGGCATATTCCCATGCAGGGGTCCCAGACAGCCTGCCCAAAGGGGGGTCAGAGAGGGCGGGAGGGAGAGAAGAGGACTGTGGGTGTCCTCCACATCTCAAGAGACCTGGGTGTCCATTTAATTTAGATCGGGAGGAGGGAGATATCTTTGGAGGTAAGAGGCTTAACTGCTTGTGGAGGACCCGGTTTTCTTCTGCGAGAAAGGCCTCAAATGGCATCTCTCCCAGTACAAATGTGGCACCTGTTCATGGCCTGAGTTTCTGGGGGTACATTTTTTTCACTATTGTTAACATTATACACTGCCCTTCAGTAAGTTTTGGGGTCTTGCAAGACTGCGTTGTGACACCACAGAACATAATCTAAACCTAGATGGCGCTCCGAGGCTGAATGCAGTGCTTGTTTAACTGAAACTAAAAACACGCTTTATATTTTAGGATGTAGACTTTGTAGACTTTTTCCTCTGTGTGTAGGGGATTTTAAGTAGTGGAACCCTGAGCTTGGTTGGGACCTCTGAGTGCTGCTGTAATGCAAGTGATAAAATAGTGATGGCATTAGTGGTGCTTGTGCTTTACTAAATTTGTGAAGGAACCTGGCACTCCCGTGAGCCAGCCACAGTAAAAACAGGGGCTATTAAAACCTCTCCCTTCAGTTCTGTCAAAATGCCTCTGTCCTAACCCATAACAACCTCAGCATCCAAGTCCCTTGCTAACCTTCTGTCCCAAAAGATTTGTTGCTATTGCCAGCTCTCACCATTTTATTTCTAATCTTGCACGTGCTTCTGGAGTCAAACAGATCTACAAGAATATCGGTTCTCATTTGTAAAAATGGGTATGGAGGAAAGCCAAAAACAGGGAAGTCCAAAGATCCAACAGCAAAAAGACAAATAAAGAGAGACCAAATTTACCTTGATTTCAAATCTTGTGATTTGGTTGGGGTTTTCTTTTCCCTTTTAAGCTGACTCGTGACTTTTTCGAGACCTGATTCTTGAACGCTCCCGGTTGCCAACAACAAGCTCCTGGTGCTACGTTAGCTAAATTATTGAAGCAAGAGGTAGCCATTGATGGGCCACTGTTATAAGGAAGTGAGTCTTGCTCTTTATCAGTGTCGACTCTACATTTTAATAGACAGCTCTTCAAAAACTCTGTTCCCATTCACAGTTGTGCTTTCCCGTTAAGTATTGTTTAAAGTCCCGATGGCAAACCTAGCAGTCGCTTTCAGGATGCCTCTGTGAACCCAAACTCGGGGGAAGTGTTTTCTTCTTAGCACCACCTGGCTGGGTGCTTCAAGCCGTAAATCATTGTAAAGGGAGTGGAGTAACCATAGGTTGAAAGTTCAGCTCCACGTTTGGAAAAATGCTTGTCTTTACATAACGGGCAGATAACTTAGGAAGTTCTTTAAAAATACTGGCAGATCTCATGTTTGCATCTTTTACCTTTTTGTTAGAACTTGCGAGAGTCTTGCTGGGAAAAAGCTGGCTACTTCTTTGATCTTCCCGATTTCTTATCGTGGAAAGCAACAGGTGTCACTGCAAGGTATGTTAATAATAGCTGCATGATTTGTTTTTCTTCATCTATTTTCCTGTGTATGTTTCTGCTTTAATTCATTTTGACTGAACATGTTGTATGTACATCTGTATGTGATTTAGCTTGTTCAAAAACATCTTGAACCTATCTCCTGCTTCCATTGTACATTCCTAAACACAATTGTTCCTATGAGCACTGTAACTCTCAGATACAGTATGTTGCTACAAATGTCAGTTAATTGGCCTCATACTCCATTTTGGAACGTAAGCAGAATTGCTTTTGCTGTTTTAAAATACGCTGCTTGTCATGCTCGGAAATCTGTTTTTATTGACAGATTGCCGCATTTTCCGACAGAAAAACAAAACAAAATAGCTTTTACCATGTGCATGAGATCCAATGATCCTTATTAAAAGTAAATGGCAGTTGTATCACTTCTGAAAAGCATCTTTGCAAAATTCATCTTTTATTAAATGAACCTCATCTAGCAGATTGTGTCCTGTGTATGCTAGGGTGATCTGTTAAGTCTGTGTCTGTACGACACATTTACCCATGTAAAGTTAGTGAGTGAGTAGGGTGGGTCCAAGCTTAGTTTTGCCTTGTTCCTGTTTTTTGCCCCTCAAGAATAACGGGCAGGTCCCTCATACTCCGTATTCAAGCTGGGATTTTGTCTCCCTGCTTTCTTGACAATTGGCAGCTATGATTAGGTATCTTACTTCCGAGAGCAGAACAGGGCACAGTTCATTTAAAAAATGGCGAAGTGTATGGGTTGTGTAAGAGCTTGTTCTCTGTAAAGCAGTAGCTCCCTTGTGCTGGATGGATCAAGATCTCATTATGCTAAGTGTTGTACAGGCACAACTTCTGAGTGCTGACACCTTAAATAGTGCTGTCAGTAGCACCCATGTCTAACGAGTCTCAAGCATCTGAATCCTATGGCTCCAAAGTCAGATGTCCTGCATGGCAGCGTTTTGTGCAAGAAACCCTGGCTTTCAGTGGTATCCACTAGCTTTCTGGCTCTGGGCTGGGCCAGGGAAGACACTGCTGGTTTTTGCTACTGTTCTTCCCAGTGCCAGTATGCTAGAGATGCCCTGAGCAAGGTATGAGCCAGTGCTCGCTGCTACAGAGAAAGCTTTGTGAGGCCAGATGGGCTCATGGGCTGCAGATGTTTGGTTTCCTGGGGACAAGCAGCAAGGAATGCCTGTGCCACGCATGCTTTGGCGCATGGCAGGTTACCCGGGTGAGGTATGGGAGGCTGGGCCAGCAACCTTACCTGGGGGATGGAGGAGCTGCAGCCACGATGCTTCTGCAGCTGGGAACCTGGCCGGCAGCTGGAGTGTGGCTCTGGCCGGCCAGACTCTGGTTTTGGGCAGTGTGCACTGCCACCAGGTACGCTGCCTCACTTCTGTTCCATGCAGGTTTTTTTGACCTTGGGATCATGCAGGGTCAAAGGAAAAAAACCCCCCAGGGCTGCAAGGTAGCAGTGCAAGGAGTGCCTGAATGTGGGGTTTGTGGCACCGCAGACCCATCTGCAGCGCCACATACTGTATGGCTGTGCTTGTCTAGATGCAGCCATGAGGGCTAAAAAGAGGTATGTGCTTTTTTAACTATTGTTTAGCTATATGTCCTTGGATTCAACTAATGCCTCTGTTTCGCAGAGACCTGAGGAAGAATGTCTTGCATTCAAAAGCTTGTCTAAATTTATCCTAGCTAGCAGGTGGTCCAGTAAAAGGTATCACCCTAGGCATCCCATAATTGTGGGACCATCATGACTACAATATCATTCGTACGCTATCCATTTAACAGGACAGAATCAGTCATTTTGAGCTGTGCCTCAATGATATACATGCTCGCTGACCACCTGAAGAAGTATGCAAGCAGAACAGGAGCTGTTGTTGTGCTAAAAGATTTGGGAAGTCAGTACCGTCTACGTGACTTTAGATTAGAATAGATCAACGCATTTTTTGAACCATGTTTGTAAACCCAACGCAAGTTGATTTTTTTTTTTTCAACACAGAATTATAGAGTCATTTTTAGGGCTGTAGATGACTTTGGATGGAGTTGGGGTCTATTTGGAAAACTATTTATTTTGCTAGAGAAGAGGCTGAAGTAGGGGGTGGTTCAAGTTTCAGTACACTTCAAAGCCCTTTTTCTCTGTCCCTGTCCCCGCTCTCTGCCTTCTCCCCCAGCTCAGTGCTGATAGGTATGCTCCATGTATGAGATCCTCCCCCACCCCCTCCTTTTTTTTAATTGTTCCTTCTTCTGAGGAACAACCACCCTCCGTGTCTGGCACATTCAGACCCAGAAGCTAGCTATTTGTGCTGTAACTTACTCTTAACCCCACCAGGATACAGCCAAACAATTTTGGAAGTAGGAGACTGAAGTCTCTGGTGTTTCATATGTTGAACCAGTGGTCATATTGCCAAATGACAGTCATGTTGCCAGGGTAGAAGTACAGCAAGAGTTGGTGTAGCTGTCCTCCTTTGGGTATACTTCTCAGAAAGAAATATTTCCTTTAAAAATGAAGTTTCGTGTTTGTGTCTTAATGCTAAACTTCCAGGCTTCTGCAGCTTGGGAGGGTAGATAGAAATGAACAGCAGTGTCTTCCCCCATACTTAAAAAGGAAAACTTCACTGTCATGCTGACTAATCCTTAAGTCTTCTGGGAAGCAAGTAATCAGATTAAATTGCAGGGTTATGCTCTCTTTGGTGCTTTCCCACTTGTGACACTCGATGGATCCAAGGGTTTGGTCACAACTTTTACTGTAGTAGAGAGGATGTTTAATAGAATCCAGGATATCCAGATGACACAGTCACTTTGGCATGTTATAGGCTCTTCTTTCCTCCTTTAACTTGCTCCTTAAAACGCATATTTTCTGTTGATTCCCACAAAACCCAGTGGCTGTGCAGCTGGTGTCTTATGATCCCTGCTTCTTACATTAATCATAAGACTGTAGCTCTACTCTCAGGGTTACATTGTGCTCCCCGACCTGTTTGTTATACCTGTCTATGCCTCTTGTCTTGGGTTTCAGAGATTGTTAGTACTTCGAGGCTTGGACAGGACGTTTTTTTGTTAGCTATTTGATCAGTTTCTAGCACAATGAGCCCATTATTCATTACTGGGGCTCAGCTAGAGCACAAATCAATATAATGGTGACAAGGTAGACATCCTATAGACAAACTACAGAATTATACAGTAATGGTCCAGGCATTACAGTAACGCTGTTGTAAACTCATTAGGTGAGATTCGTGACTCCCTCTCTAACTTTTATATGCCAGGAAGAGATGCTGGAAAGGCATAAGGAATCTAAACTCTGGATCCAGCCAGAAGAATTTCCCATTGCAAGAACTGAGGAAGATGTTAGGTTGTCATCCAAGTTCCTCTTGTAAAACTCAGTGTAAGGGGCATGCTACTCTTCATAGTTTGTGGAAGGGCTGAGGTGTTGTTGTAGCGGTGGTGGTGCAGGACATGTCCAAGAGGCAAGGATTTGATAACTTTTTGACTGGACCGACTGCCAGATTGGGAGAGCTGTTGGACAAGCTTTCAGGCCTCAAGTGCTCTTCTTCAGGTCTGAGAGATCAACTGCAGGCTGAACTAAATAGCAGAGAAAGGACACCATGCAACTGCACTTCACAGATAATAACTACTTCTTTCTGGAATGGTTTCCGTCTGCCGCCAGCTACTTTGCCTATTCTATTAGACTACTTTTGTCTTGCAAAGACTCCTTTTGGCAGCATTTCGCTCTGAGTGAAAACTTGCTCCATCCCTCCAAGTAGACTGCTTGTGTATTTCTCTGATACTGAGTTAAAATGAAGATCTTGACATTTTCCAAGTGGTGCCTTGAATCTAGAAAGGTTGAGAACCACCCGTTTAACACTTCATTGCTTTGCTTTTTAACAGATACCAGGCAAGAAAGCTTTGCGTGTTGGTCCAAGTAGAGTGTTTTACTCCACACAAACCATTTTTTTTTTTTAATTTTTCATGAGGAAAAAATAGTTGAACTTTGATTGAGGGTTCCCTTCCCCCTTGGTCTTATGAACAAATTGAAATGCCATTTAGCTGAGTCCTCAATGTGCAAGGCTGAGAGCTTGAATCTGGATGCCTTTGGCCTTTGTGACTTTCCCAATAGCGTGAACCCCTCTACCTGCTACCTAGGATTTTCTCATAATAAAAAAAAACCCAGAACTGTCCTTGCTTACTCCGTCTGTGAAAGGAGGAAGGTCAATCCTGTTCTAAGATTTGCTCAGCTGCCTTTTATCCTTAGTTGTCCTGAGGATGGACACCTTGCATCCAGCACCTCGGAGAGATTAGTTTGAAACCTGCATTTTCATTTCAGTACAATCCAGCTTTTCACGGAGGGTTATTGTCTGGGGATGCTCCTCAAACAAAATCCAGTCATTTGCTCTGATTCTTGGTAGCCATCAATTAGTAAAAAAAGCCTTTGCTCTAAATGGTCCAGACTGCTGATTGCTTTAGATTAAGGCAGACAAGGTTCTTTGGGTAAATGTGATATCTTTCATTAGACCAGCTAAATAGTTGGAAAAATTGTTTGTTGCTAAAACCAACACCCCCGATTGCTTTAGATTAAGGGCATTTTATCAGGTTAAAGCATTTTGTCACCTGGTCATATTTTTAAGACTCATTGCAGGGATATGCTTTCCCCTGGGAAGAATGGGTAACAGTCTTGACATGCAGATTATCACCTGGCTTTTCTCACTAAGGCTGTTGGTGAGGCCGGGGGAAGGAGAAAATTGTTTTTCTCACTGCTCTTAGTAATGCTCTTCAGAGGTTCCTGCACTTGGCTCACGGTGAGTATGATTCACCACCCTGCTCCACCCACCATTTATAACCTCTGATCATTTTTCCTTTGTGTACCGTATTCTGGGTGAAGCTACTTTTAAAAATACTTTTAAATAACTGGTATGGCTACAGGTGACTGAATTATGGAGACAGAACTCTTGCCAGAGGTAAGCCCCATTTCCATTGGGCTCCCCTTCCCTCGTAAAGGACCGCAT